TTCAGGGGTTTGGGGCTTTAGGGTTTTGGGTTCAGGGGTTAGGATGGGAAATCTTGGGGGAGATAGACCCTCTCAATCAGGTCCCTTTTCAGAGAGTCACAAGCCCCGTTGAATGGGTCTCCCTAATACTACCCAGGAGTTGAAGGTTTATTTCAGAGAGTCACAAGCCCCTTTGAATGGGTCTCCCTAATACTACCCAGGAGTTGAAGGTTTATGTAGGAACATTTAGGTTTTTAGGGTGAAGGATCAGCTAGGCTCAGGGTGCGGGGCACAGGGTCCGCCGGGAGGGGGTCGGGACGTCTGTGAAGTCTAACGCGTAAGATGTCCGTGTCGTCTGATTCCGGTTTAGGGCTTAGGGTTTAGGGTTCAGGGTTTAGGGCGAGTTCTGTCATGGTTTAAAGCACCCTAACCCCTGGACGGTGTCATAGCCCATTGAATCCTGCAGTGTTCAACTATTTAACCACCCAAACCATTCAAGGCTCCAGCCCTAAACCATTCAAGCCGTTGAACCCTGAAGCCCTTTTAGGCAATCTCAGCCACGTATACTCCATATTAGCTAGCCCGTTTAAACAATACCAATAAGCATTTTTCCTAGTGAAGGAGTTCCCTGGCACCAAATAGCTAACCTTTTGGATATGGTAGGGTTATCCATATAAACCCAAACAGAGACGGGTCACCTGTCGAGCATCTGCTCTTGAAACCGTAAAGCTTGTCAGGGGTGCTCAATGCTTGGGCGCCCACTGCCATCCCAGGAGATCACCTGCTAGGCGAGAAGGTTTTGGGGCTTAGGGCTCCAAACCTCTAAACCGTGCAGCAACCTAAAACTAAAACGCCGAAGCCACAAAGCCAAATGGTTAACAACCTCTTGCACTTTCTCTACTCTAACACATCTAACCCTATCTATCTATCTATCTATCTATCTATCTATCTATCCGTCTATCTATCTATCTATCTATCTATCTGTCTATCTATCTATCTATCTATCTATCTATCTATATCTATCTGTCAAACTATCTGTCCGTGTGTCTGTCTGACTGACTGCCTGTCTGTCTGTCTGCTCTACCGAATTATCTAGTTGTCTATCTCACTATACATACACTCACATACGTATAGACATATATATATATATATATACATACACACCGAAATATAACCCATATACTGTATATACGATATAGATAGATCGAAAGGTAGACAGATGGATAGATAGATGGATTGTAGGCAGATAGAAAAATAGATAGACAGGAACAAGGACAGACATACATACACGCAAACTATATATATATATATACACACACACATAGCATACATAATAAACATGCCCATGCACCTCCAAATAGTTCTCCTGAGCCTGCATTCCTAAACTCTTGCCCCCAAACACTCAAGCCCGAAATCCTCATCCCCCTAAAGGCTCTTGGGTTTAGTTTTGACCAACCCGTATCACGAAAGCCCAAACAGATTGAAGCTACCAGCCTTTCCCTCCTCCCAGTGGTAGGACTCATTGGCAACTTTCAGCTCAGCACCCTTCAGGCTGATAGGGCTTCAAGCTAAGGGCTTAGGGTTCAGGGGTTTTAGGGTTTAGGGCTTTGGGTTTAGGGTTTAGGGCGAGGTGCCGATTTGAAGAGGGCTCTTTTGCTGTTCCGATGAGGCATCGGGCGGATTGGCGTGCTTGGGCCTGTGCTTTGGGTTGGGGTTGGTCGTCTAGGGTCTAGGGCTTCGGCTGTTTACGCGGTTTAGATGTGGGTGCGGAGGCGCCCGATTGCCTTTATTGACTTCGAAAAGGCAAGTGCCGAGAGCAGTTCAGTGTGGAATAGGGAGGTGCAAAAAGTCAACCGACTGTGTTCATAAAGACGAAAGCTTCTCCACACGCACACGTACTAGCATTACCAAACATTCCTGTTGAACTTCAGATGTGTGGCGGTGTACAACATGAAGCATTGTGCAGCATCCTAATCCCTATAATATCCTACAAGCCTGAACGCTAAACCCAAACAGTCTCTAAACCTAGACCCTAACCCTAAACCCTGCACCCTAACCCCGCAAGCCCTACCTGTAGCGGAAAAGACTTACCTTCTCATAGGGCTCTTTATACTGGATTCTTTATCAAACTCCTCGAACAAGTAGGTCTGTGGGGCACGGGCAAAGTAACTGAAGACCCCCTCGCCCTGGCAAAGCAAGGCGCTGTGCCATGGAGGGCTTCTTTGGGCTTAGGGGTTTATGGGTTTGGTTGTGGGGTGTAACGTAGGGTTTTGAGCTAGAGTGCAGGGCTCAGGAAGTTTAGGTTTGGGTACCCCGAAACACACACGAAGGGTAAACGAACTATGGGTCTGAATGACGAGCACGGAGGTTGTCGGGGTTTGGGGTTTCAAACTCATCCTGCATGACATCCCAGAAGAAACGAAGCCGCGGTCCTCAAGTCCCGAAATGCCCAGGTGGATGTTCAGGATGTTGTTGGCCGGACCGCTGTGTGTCTCCACCTGAGCATTTGTATTCTCAGGCTTCCCAAACCCTACAAACCCTAAGCCCTACCCAGAGAGCCCAATACCCCTTAAATAAGGAATATAGCTTAAACCTTAATATGAAGCCCCTTATAATTTAAGCTATATTCCTTAATTAAGGGATATTGGGCTCTCTGGGTAAATCAAGGTAAAGGCGAGCTTGCCGGGGGGGGGTCCGGGCTTCAGGGCTTGCACCAAGGCGCGGCGCCCCGCGGGGGGAGATGTGGGCATCTCTGAGGGCAGTTCTCCAAATTAGGGGCTTTTTGGGGTCCCCGATACAGTATGGCACCCTCATTAAAATTCAAAAGGTACCCCAAAAAGGACCCTAAACCCTAAACCCTAAACCCTAATTTAGAGAACTACCCATGCACATGCTCGGGGGGTTGATTTCAAGACTCCTAGGCAATGCCATGCAAGGCTCGGCCTGAACATGAGCCTAAGCTGAAAGCCGACCTTCAGATCTTTAGGTGTCAAGTTTAGGGTTTGGGGGTTTTTAGGATTTAATGAATAACTACGGGTTGAGGGCTTAGGCTATTTTAGGGTTTATATGGCTCAGGCTATTTAGGGTTTAGGGGATTCAGGGTTTGTCTTAAGCCCTAACCCAAGCCCCAAGCCCTTTTTGAGAGCCCAATACCCCTCAAATAAGGAATGCTTAAAACTGAGTATGAAGCCCCGTATAATTTAAGGTATAATCCTAAAACCTAAACCCCCTAAACCCCTAAACCCCTAAACCCCCCCAAAAATGCTCTAAAGCCGAGTCCCCTTGAAGTACTGAGCTGCGTTCAGGATGTAGTGGGATTTAAGGTTCAGGGTGTTAGGGTTTAGGATGCAGGGTTATAATTTATAAACTCTAAACCCCTAAACCCTAAACCCTAGACCCTAAACCCCTAAACCCTAAACCTTTAGGGTTGAGGAATTTAGTGGTTTTGAGGGATTTAGGGGGGGGGGGGTTAGGCGCACATGCCTGACTGAGCTCTTCGCATCGGTGCCTGGCTTCATCTTGATTACCATGACCTGCTGCTGCACGGCTTAAGGTCGAGGGTCTCATAGTGTCCTTGAAACTTAGAATAGGGTTCCTTGAAAGGGTTACTATAAGGGTGATTATAACGGCTCTATAAGGATATAATGTAGGGGCCATAATAATGATAATAGGGTTTTGGGGCAGATTATACTATAATTATAA